TCATTTGAGATTCAAGCCCGACACTGTCGAAACTAGCACAGGCATTATTGTCCAATTATTCTACCATCCTAATATACACAATTAATTACATCTAATAAAAACCATTACAAAAGTCGGATACTCTGCAATGAAAACCATCTTTTTCAGATATCTCCGAACTCAATTTCAAATTCTGTGATTACGGTTTCTACTTGCGTAGCAATCCTAAGGCCGGTCACCCCTGAGCGGTAAGATATTTACTGCAGAAACATTATACACGCAAGAATGGCACAATTACACCGAAGACAAACACTTAGAGCCCTGAAGATGATCTCAATAAAGATCGAAACGTTGGCAGGATAAAGAAAATGTTTTTCTGAAACCTACATCACACCAGACTGCTTCTCACGATTTCTGAATAATTATACACTGTTTTGAATAAATTATTCCTTTTATGTAAGGACTTGGTAGAGATAAAAAAGCCAGTGTCACGAGCGGGATTCGAATTTTTCCTCTTTTTGCCATTTTCAAATGTTGTGTAATCAGGATTCGATTCTCATCGATTTATGGAGTGGCCACGAGGAGCTGTTTCGTGAAGTGATACTTTTTTTACTTATTAAATATTTATCAATTTATGTTTTAGTGGTCAATTGACCAAGTTACTTCTTTCAATTAATTATTCTTTTTATGTAAGGTCTTGGTCGAGATAAAAAAGTCAGTGCCTCGAGCGGGATTCGAACGCACGACCTTCGGCTAAATACGCCGCTGCTCTACCACTTGAGCTATCGTGACTTTGATCCTATCGGACACCAACTCTCCATCCCAATCTACAGGTCGGGGGTTCGAATCCCGCTCGTGTCACTGACTTTTTAATCTCAACAAAAACCGTACATAAAAAGAATAATTAATTGAAAGAAGTAACTTGCTCAATTGACCACTAAAACATAAATGGATTATACACGATTTGTATCCTTAGACTAGCTTTGTAACACGGTGCTGCCCAGGGGGAGAATAAAAAGTGTTATTTAACAGATTATTTTGAATATAGATATTGCTATTGCTCGGTAGGAGCTATTGCTAGATATTTACACATCCAATAGAACTTTTGTTTTGGATTACATTGTTAATTCATTGCCATGCTCTTGGAATGTTTTTGGTGATTTCATTTGACATATATACAAGTAACAAATCCCATTTCGAATTTGAAAAGTGATTAAAAATGCTGTATATAATTGTGTGAATTAGACAGAAATAATATTTTTGGAACAATTTTTTTACGTGATTTTTATTGCAAGTAACGTTTGTTTTCACTCTCAGCTGAAGAAATTTTTCCAACTTTACAAGTTAACCAAGTCAAAAAATAGTATAAATAAATGGACCCGGATGAAATTGTTTAAACAGGACGAATTTTAATCACTAATTGAAATTTGCTCATGGCCTTACAATTTGTCTTACAAACCAATTGCACACGATTTTTTTTTACTTGGGGCCTTCGACATCTAGGTTCATTTCAGCCCCCAGTTAAGTTTATATTCTATTTACCCATTCAAACACTACATTCATACAAATAAATACATTCATATACATAAATACATCCATACAATACACTCATTTGTTCGTTGGAGTACTTGATATTCCTCCACTGACCTATACTCAAACTAATCTAGATTGAGGTCGATGGAGTACTTTTATAAATATTCCATCATCGACCCTGAACACACACACACTCATACGCTTTCAACGTTCGAGGGGCGATGATGACGTTATATTTCACCCTCACCTCTCGCCATTCACGCTAATAAATGCATGCACTCAGACAAAACATATAGACACAACACATAAGACATATTATATACAATAAAAAAAAAACAATTTCCCCTAAAAAGCGGAACAGGGGACTCTGAAACTCGCTACCGTGCTCGAGAACTCTTCTTAAGTCCGGCGGCATGCCTATACGCTCTCTGTATGGAACCAAGACCATGACACACCTCTATTATGTGGCACACGATTATTCTTTTTATATTTGTTATTTTATTAACAACTTAAGAACCTTGATGATTGAACATGAACTGAAAAGATGCAGTTATTACCTTAGTAATTCACCCTGTATATTGAAAAATGTTTGAGTAAAAATCAATTGGAAATTATTTACCTTTGGGGAAACGGTTCATCCATATAATATGGAGAACAGCTTGTTGCAATCCTACGTTCATAACTCGGGGTTATTTTGATAAATTCAATCAAGTGATTGTTTTTCCGATCAAAAGATTTTATCAAAAGGATGAAGCATGTTGTTGACGACGGAAGAAAACGGCATATTTTTAATTGTGATTAGTTAAGAAACAATTTACATTTGAAATGGAAAGCAGATTGATTTTTTTTACGCTGAGAGTAAAACAAACGGCAAGAAAGTTAAAACAGTGGGTGCAGATAAAGTTCCAAACGTTTGTTTAAAGGATTTGCAAGATCACCCCCTCGGATGTCTCAGTCAGAGATAAAAGAAATACGTTCCGATCCGGCTCTCGTCCGAAATAGCATTATGAAATTGGAAAGCCAATCCTCTCGAGTAATCGTTCTGTTTTCTAAGAGGCGGCCGTAAATCAGCGTCGAACGCGGGGAAAAAGTCGAACTGCGGCACAAAGGTTAGGGTACGTTTTGGCCGGGAGTTGGAATAGAGCCATACTTCCTGTCCGCCACTCAGCGACGATCTACCCCCGAGAAAGGGAAACCCTGTCCAGATGAAAATGTGACTTAGAAAGTGTGTGAGCGAGAGCCTTTTTTACCGGGGCTGAAACCCCAGAACCCATCCTTTCAACCGGCCAACGGGTAGCTCCATCGCTCAACGAGGACATCGATTTATGTTGCAACCTCGCAAAAAGCCGAAGGGTAAATACGAAAACTAACGATGTATCGATTTATTAAATAAAAAGATCCAACCCCTGTACAACATTTCCAGGGGAAAATACTATTATATAAAAATCTAAAAGAAAAAGAAAATCGTTTAATTAATTGAACTATTTAGCAATACGCACTTAGTCTGAACAACTTAAAGACGTAATTTCTCCTTATTTCTGTTTAAATTTTTTATTGAATGGTTTATGTAGCAAAACATTCGTACTTGGCCATTTCTATTCATTCAATAATCTGCCTAAATTGTTTTTGCTTTTTGCCGTATAACGTGACAGATCAAAGTCAGAAACAGGTTAATCAACGCACAACCCTCAAAAGGTAAAAAAAAAATATAAAATTGTCAAAGTTCAAGCCATGGTAAAAAAAACAGAAGGGTTGCTAAGAGAAAAAAATCAGAAGGGTAGTTAAGGGGATTGATAACTCGCCAGGATGGGTCCTGGAGCAACACTTATGGGACCTGAACTCTTCGTTAAACTTTCGAAATGAGGGGAAAAAAGGAGCAATTTCCGAATAGAAACAGGTAAGGACGCATACCCGGTCGAACAACACAGCAGGCCGAGCGGCACGCTCAAAACTTTGTCAACAGTTAACAAACATACTAAACTGGACATACTACCTGCTGCAGTAAAGCCTGAAAAAACTTGGATTTTCTCATTGTCAGTAGACAACTAACATTAGTTAAGGTAGAAATAAGATAGACTATGAATTTTCTAAGAAAAAAAAACTGTATAAATACTTTTCAATTAATTAAGGTTTTTAGTTGAGATAAAAAAGTCAGTGTCATGAGCGGGATTCGAACCCAAGACCTTCGGCTAGATACGCTGCTACTCTACCACGTGAGCTATGGTGACTTCGATCCCCTCGGACATTAACTTCCCATCTCAACCCCACCTTTGAATTTTCAGAGATGGGAAGTTAGTGTCCAAGTGGATGGAAGTCACGATAGCTCAAGTGGTAGAGTAGCAGCGTATCTAGCCGAAGGATGTGGGTTCGAATCCCGCTCGTGAAACTGACTTTTTTATCTAAACTAAAAACCTTAATTAATTGAAAGATATTAATTGGTCAAGCGGACCACAAAAACTAGTGCATTTTTGATACTGTGAAGGCATAAGGCGGAAGATACAAAAATGCTGGAAGCTAAATAAGTGAAATTTAAACCGCGTGATGAGTAGCAAAAAAGTCCTACTTGAAAGACCCGGTACAAATGGTTTTTTTAAATTCAACAAACCCGGATCTAAAATTAAACTTAACATGCAAAGTCATACTATATTTTTAAATAGACAAAAATATTGTTGTAAACGACGAAGAGGACAAGCTCGAAGTATGAAAGTGAAATGTAATCAAGTTAGTTTTAACTTAAGTTATTATTACAGTTTTCATTTTCCATATTGCATATCACCCTCTGTTTATCCTATGAAAATATAAAAACGGAAGACACAAACTTTTAAGCCGAACATAATAAAAATCGCAATTGAAAAGTTTATGCCTTAATGGTAGGTTGTTACTTAAATATGAAAGTAAAACATAAGAAAAAAGAAGGGTATTATTAAAGCTTGAAAGTTTTGAATTTATGACCCTTGGAGTTTTCCTCAAGGAATTCCCGAACTTATTTTTCATACACTCGCAGAGTCTTTAAAGGTGTCAAAGAGCTTTGGTAGACAGAAACTGTTATAACAGTAGTAATAACAGTTCAGAGGAAACTAGGGTTAAGACTTTAATTACAAAATAACACACCGGAATGGCTTTATAATCGTGCAAATGGGTGCACATCCGACGAATCTTTCTGGTCCATAATAATAAAACAAAAAATAAAATAAAGAAAAAACCTGAAATAAGAAAACAGTCTGTAAAGGTTAGGGTGACTACTCACCCTAATGCTTTCTGTTATTGCAGCAAAACAGTCCGTTTTCATGGAAGCGATGGTACATTTGCCATAACGACTCCAGACCCGCTCCCCCAGGACGTGCTAACGATCTAACCGGGGAGGGAAAACGTTCTGCCAATTTTCCACCCTTGCTCAAAAAGCAAAATCGCATTCGAAATTTGTTAATGACGTGCGCTTGTGTACAATACAAAACGTGCTGTTATTGAACTATAAAACTGAGCGGCACCTGTCGTGTCAGAAGCCCAAGGTAGCTGTTCTGAAGGAGTGTAGCATTCTAAAATAAAGAAAAACATTTAATGTAGTTTACGAAAAAAAAAGAAAATGTATTTAAATTAAGAGATTGTACAAATAAACATACATAAATAATAACTATTTTTTCTCTTCGCTCTTTATATATACAACATACAACAAAAATCAACTCAAAAAATTAGTGTGGTTAAGTCTGGTTATATTGAAATTTAGGTTTTCTTGAAGAATTCTCTATTCTCGAGATATTAAAATGACGCTGTTTGATCTCGTTCATTGTAACGCCAATTATTAATTCCATTAGGCTTGAAATGTGAGTTATTTTGCAAATAGATCTTCATATTAGTTTTCCATTCTCATTTCTTATTTGAATTCTTCAACTGTATTTTGTCTTCAATAACGAGTAAAAAACAAGACAAATCTGCCGTAAGTAAATTGTAACAATTATCATTTTGAGAAATAACCAAAGTACTTTATTACACAGGGTTTTAGGGTTGCCTAATGAGAGGGAAAATACTATAGCATAAAGACTACTAAACAAAAAGGATCATAAAACGCTCGTCTCTATGTAAAACAAGGACATAAACTTTGTTTAATAAAATCGGCCATTCAAAGTTGTGAAAATGCATTAGGTGGTATTCCTTTTTCTTTGTAAAATTGTTCAGTCGGTTGTTTCACTATTGTAGAATCTGTCTTTTTATTTAATGTTACCAGTATCAACTAACAACATATTACCAATCGATATCAAGAAGCCTTTATTTTGTTTGACTTTGTCTGTAGTTAAAATATTAAACAATAAATTTATATAAATTTTATAAACAAGTAAAAACACTGATAAAGAAAAAGTGGATGAGATGGCTAAGGTCGTGACACCCCAACCTCCCGACTTAACCAAAGCGATCCTGCTTTCTGACGTTAAACATGTAATAAAAAACATGAATATAATGTGGCAGTGTCGGTGAGTTGGATCAGCAAGAAAGATCTTATGTATCAATAGTCGATACGTGGCCCTCGAAAGGTCTGACCAGTAGAGGAATATGGTCATTCTTACCCGATTAGGGATAGGCCATGCGAGGTTGACACATGGACACTTACTTCGTGGCCAAAGCCCGTTTATTTGCCCTGCATGTAGAGAAAGGTTTCTTGACGTGCCCTACCTAATTGAAGGCGATTCCTTGCCTCCATATAGAGAGCAGGAAGCGATGCCACTCGATACGAGAAGTACGCGAGGACGACATATTTGGTATATTTGTTCCGATCTTGGAGGAAAAAGGGCTGTTTTTTATCGTAACGTGACACTGTTGTGTACCCTAGTGAGTGTTGGGGGTGAATGGAATTAAGAGCGTGAATGTGTAGTGTGAGAAGGTCAATGGCGGAATATTGGGTACCCAATCAACCCTCAAATAGTTAATTAATAATACATTAGTTGAAAAAAGTGATCGAAGAATATTGGTACCCACCACCTTAACTGAATGACTGATATGGAAAAAAGAAATGTTTTTAACAGTCAAATAGTAACTGGGTTTGGATTTAGGAACTGATTGCGTCGTGGGCTGAAATGACCTAGCTGTTGATATCCCCTTAGAGCCCAACCCGGAATGGATGATTCTCGAGGCCTAGCAGTATTTTATTTTCAATTACAAAAGCTGAAATTGCCAATGGGCTGCGAGAAGTCATAAGTTCAACTCTGTATACGCGAGAAAGTATGTATATTCAAGTTCAAATTGAACCTTATATAAATCGGTAAATCAGTAACTAAAAACACCAAAATATTTTTTTTTGCATTGTACAAATTCACATTTTTCCACACCCTATGTGTTTTTATTAAATTTAAACAATGCTTGTAAATCCCAGGCCCTGAAGATGCCAATAAAGGTCGAAACGTTAGCACGACAAAGAAAATGTTTTTCTGAAACCTACATCACACCAGACCTCATCTCACCATTTCTGAATTATCTTCGACAAACGGTCACTAATCACCACACATAAAAACACAACTTCAAAAAAATATTTTGTTTATATTTTATTAATCGTTACACGGCAGCAAAAGGAAAGGAAATTAACGAAAGAATGTTTTATAACAGATAGACCATTCATTAATCCCTATAATTCGGACTACATAAAAACATTGCCTAAAAAATTAAATGTAAAACTTTACCTAATTTGAAAAAAAAAATCCTATAAAGAATCACAAGTACACAATGATGACTAATTGATAAGTTTTGACATTGGGTGTTGTATGTTTCAGGTAGATTTTTGAAGTTCTCTGTAAAAACCTTTTAACATTAAGCTAAGTCGGAAGAAATAGGCAATAGAAAAAATGTTCAGTAATTCCCAGATGTCAAGTGACAGTTTAGGGTGTTGCAATAGTTTCCTTTCACTTATCTTATTATCAAGGCAACTATCAACTTGTTTTAATAGAAACGCTCAATGCTACCTGACCTATATTAAACATTTCAACTTATTGGGTTTTTGCTAGTTAAAAGATAAATGAGCTTGTTAATAGAAAATGTACGAATTATCTTCAGTTTAGTGAGGTGTGAAATTTGAAAATCAAATTACGCAAAACAACCTTCAACAGACAAAGCGACTAGCTACATGAACAACATCCTCATCCATTGCACTAATTGGCTGTCATTATTCCTCAATCCCAAAGACCATTAAAGGATACCGGAAGTCAGGACAACCTCTAGCATTAACAAGTAATAACGCGTACTCTGGGGATATCATATCAGAGTCAGCAGTTAGAAGGGAACTGAGAGAGTCAAACGTTAGATCAAGAAGATCATGAAAGTCATTCTTCTAACCACAGATGACAAAACACCGAGAGACACTAACATGTGCAAGGCAACACCAATTGTGCATTACAGAATGGAATATGTCCTTTTCTCTGATGAGACGAGAGTGGCTTTAAACAGTCTAGATGACCGTGAAAGAACATGTAGAAGATCTGGAGAATGAAAGAATCAGTTCTACATATTGTAAATAGGAATTATTCAGTAATCGTGAGATGCGGTCTGGTGTGATGTAGGTTTCAGAAAAACATTTTTTTTATCGTGCCAAAGTTACGATCTTATTGAGATCATCTTCAGGGCTCAAAGTGATTGTCTTCTGTGTAATTGTGCCATTCTTGCGTGTCGTGTTGAGAGTCACTTTGAGAAGAAAAACAAACACTTTGAGCCCTGAAGATGATCTTTATGAAGATCGAAACGTTGGTACGATAAAGAAAATGTTTTTCCGAAACCTACATCACACCAGACCGCATCTCACGATTTTTGAATAATTATCGATTAACGGTCTCTAACCACCACACATTGTAAACAGTAATATTTAGAATAAGGTCGACATGTTTTGGGAGTAATTTCTTGATAGGCACGTACTCCAAGTTGGTACCGGCCGAAGGGGATGCCTTGAAAACCATTAGACTTTGTGGTAATTTTTGTCTGCTTTCGTCTTTAAACCATTGCGTATACATGATAATGCTCGACCACATAAGGCAACCAGTGTTTCTGAGTACCTGAACGCCACAGGTATTCTACCCTCGAGTGATAAAAAATAAAACCTGACCCGTACACAATGTGGGTATGTTTGGGGCACTTTCCAAAGTAAGGTTTGGTCACTGGCCACCCTCAACTATACTTTAAATATTATGGGCTGCTGTGCTGGTATGAAAAAAGATACAAGTTTTTCTACAAAAATAATTAATGAGTATGTATTTCAAAAAAATCAAAACAATTAATGATGTTAAAGGATGAAATAGTTCTTATAAAATGCCATTTTAAGAGGAAAAATATCTTTAAAATTTGAAAAGAGCTAATTTTATAAAATAAATACATGTTATTTTAATCAAACCGCATAGTCAGATTGAACAAATACAAGTTTAGTTTGTTCACCTGTGCCTTTTTGAATTATATTATATATTATATTAATATTATATTATATTAATAAAAATCGTATGTTTTTACAAAATATAAATAATTCAGGGTGTTACATTATTTTTCATGGGGAGTGTATATATAAATTAATTTTTCATTAATTTGTCCGTTTATCAGTTGTTATCGTAATTGTTTTATACAGCTCACCTCAAAGTTACTGGCATACAAAATCTCATCCGGTTTAAGATTTGCCCTTAACGAGTAAAATTTATGCTCGCTTTATGTCATCCTTCGGCCAAAGTTTGCAAAGCCCCAGGGAATCCGACGCTCTTTCCAGAGTGTCAAAAACTTTGCTTTGAAATATTACAGTAATTTGTTTTATCTAGAAACAGCCAATTAACCGTCAAACTATAGCCATTTCATAACAAACGATCCCGTGTTATTATTTTGTAGATGCTGGAAGAATTTCTTCCTTAGGTCGTCTTGTGTCTGGTTTTAAGCGGAGAATTTAAATGAAAACGTTATTTAAACACGAGATGGAATTAGTAAACATTTTTAGTAATTATTTACAAAGCCCTGATGTAAAAATGATCAAGTTAATCGTGGCAAGGTTATTTATCATTTTAGATGCATGCCCGTCATTAAGTGAAGTTCGGATCATTCATCTCGGGTAACTTATTTTCTCAAAAGATGATACACTTTTTTATCATGGCAAATTAGCTCCTTTCCCTCATATTTTTTACCGTTCGAGGGAGAATGTGGTCTCTATTACCACATGATACGCTTTCGATCGAACCATCTAGTAACATTAATAATTTTCTTATGTGATGATACTTCATAAATTATCTCTTATAACAATAATATAGGGTGCTTAATATTATAGTTTTTCAAGTGAACGTTTTATATCTACATAATACGGTAGAAAATAATTTTTCTTTCAAACTCACTAGTTTTCGTGGTCCGCTTGACCAATTAATATCATTCAATTATTTAAGGTTTTTAGTTGAGATATTAGTTATTTCATCCTCCCTTGGGATGGGACAGTACGTTCCGGAGCCTTTCTTGACGTAAGCCAAACTTTTGATCGAGATTGGCACCCGGGCCTGTTGTTCATGCTCAAGGGCATCCTTCCATCCACCTACTATCTCG